TAGACAAAAAAGAAAAATATGCTGATCAATCCAAAAGAAAAATGTAGCACCGATTATTATTTTAGGAAAAAAAAAAACAAAACAATTGAGACTGAAAATTTCACTATTGAAAAAGTGACTCATGCGAAAGTTCTTGGAGTCAATATCAGTTTAATCTTAAAAAGTGTACATATAGAATATTTTCTTCCAAAGAGCGACCAAGACTGTGTATCTGGTGCATGGTCTGACATGTCGGAGTGAAGAAAAATAATCTTATAGAAATTTGCAAAACCCTCTTCAGATCTACACTGGAGTATACTTGCTGGCTATGACAACCTGGACTAGCCGCGGAACAATTTAAAAATCCAAAGAACACATCCACAATATAGCTTTTCGCATAAAATTACCTGAACTCACAAACAATGAAGCACACACCATCACTGTATTGCCCGCCATGGGATTGGACGCACTATAACATCAGTATTAATGTTTCATGGGAATACATACATGTACCCATAGATTGGAACACCTACCTATTAACAAAAGCACATGTCAATGGAAAGGTGCTTATGTTTTATCTTGATATCGGAAAAAAAGATATAATAACACTTTTATTCCATCCTTTTATATATGTTTCGATGAAATGTGCGCATTCATGAACTTAGGAAATTAAAAAGAGTTACAAACACGTTACTGGTTATTTTTATTCAGTATATATTTCAATGTTTATTTTAAGTGAACGATTCTTAATATATATTTTATATAGGCATCCATTATATGATACATATTTAAAAAGGAGTAATATAAATCCTTATTAATAATTGTTAATTTTAAACTGTAATTAGAATCAAATTTCAAAACTGTTTCTTCATCAGAAATACTCTTAAAATTATTCTTTTCTGTTTTGGCTTTAAAGGTACATACGAACCGAGCATCGGTGGAGTGTGGATTCCCAGTAACACATGTAAACCACTTCTACTAAATTCTTATATGACTCAAATAAATTCAGCATGCCAAGGGATAAAATGAATAGATCACTCGATCAGCCATAAAAGACCTTTAGACTGGTCCTTTCTTCAAATTTATGGTTGTAAAATTAACCTACTTCCATGACCTACTTTCCTGCCCCATTGACGTACAGCTTAGAATGCCAGCAGAAAAATCTGTTCAAACATTATTTTCGGGTAAAATTAAACAATGCCTTTTGGTAATTCTCTTAGTTATACTACTTGAAACTATATGCTGGCATTTGGTTGGTTTTTGTGACAAAAAATTGACTTTGTATGCATCTTTAAACAATCACCTAACGAATTTGTCCAAGGCTCCAACTGTGAGAGTGCAGCACAACCGAGTCGGACTGACAAAATAAATGGACTGAATATTGTTCAAGCACGCTGACCTTTCAAAACAAGTTCTCAGCAAATCATGGGCAATATGAATTTTGCGACAGCTGACCAGCTACAAAGACGAGTATATTCTATGAAACACCTCTCGATCTGGAATTTCTCATTTGGTTTTAGGGGTGTTTTACGGGTAGATAAGACCCCATCTTCTTTGGTATGTATGGGCAAGTAATACACTGCCACCCTGCACCAATATATGCCATGAACACCTCTCGCTGACGCTCGTGGGCCTCTTGCTCATGTCAGGTGAGAGTGTGTTCTGTCACGCGTAGTACAGTGTAAGTTACATAAGCTGGGTGGGGTTTTGCTGTGCTTATATAACGAGCCGTCGCATCGATGAAACTTCACATACCTGTTCAGACGACTGCCGAGAGAGACACGTTATAGCAACATGGAGAAGAAAACCTTAGTCGCTTTGCTCTTGGTGACTATGCTAGTTATAGATTTGTTCGCTGAATCGGACGGTGAGTTGGCCAACTGCATTTTATTGTTAGGTTTAATTTTTCGTGTCCGGTTAATGCTTAGGTCCCAACTACGTTTTGGATGCACGGTTTTTAGGTTCCTTGCGTCTGGCTAGGACGTAGCTAGATCGATGGAAAGAAATAAAGTAATTGGTGAAAAGTTTCTACGTGCTGTTTGCGTCCTCCAAAAGTCGCACGACGGGCGTGCTCTTCACGCACGAACTCCCACGTTTTCCCCATTTTTTTGGCCGTAGACCACACGTAGCAGCCTGTACGTTCGGTTGGGACCTAGGCTTAAAAAAGGAACAACTGTGCGAATAGTTAACGGTTTTATCACAATCAAAACACTATACTGCCTACTGAAGGTGAGCCCAGTGTATCTTTTAATGCTAAATAGAAAGGTTCCTTCAAATTACTTGTTCTTGAATTATAATGTTTGAAAGTTAAAGTAACAGACGCGGATTCTTTTTGTGGTTGTTGACTGCTTTATTTGCTAACGGTATTTTTACATCTTTTAAAGTGCCAATAACCAATTCGGTGTAAATTAAATTTGGACAACCATTTGCACTGGCAATTGCAATATGAAACTTCGTAGTGTTGATATTCCGAAAAAACGCTTGAAGAAATGCCTTTTTATGGTTACTGTAAATTGCTTTTTAAAATTTTTATTCAGCTTCTTTTTTATGATGTCACTCCATTAAACCCTCGTTTTGAGAGTTAGCAAATTATTATATCAGACTTCAAAAGCAAGTTGTAAGTTGTCTTGACATATGGAGCAATTTTCTTCATATAATAGTAGTACATTATTCTTTTGCATCTCATATCTTAAGTGTCCTTCCTATATTCATGAACCCTTTGACACCTCTCTCTCTCTCTCTCTCACCCCCCCCCCCCACACACACACATACACACACGGACACGGAGAAAACTATACACGCATCTTTACTTAAAATTTCCTTACATTTAACATTTTCTCTTTATCATTTTATAGCATTTTGGAGTCGTCGTCGTCGTCGTCGTCGTCGTGCAGCTGTCAGAGATCCATCAGCAGCTCCAGGTGAAAACAGTCTGATAAATGAGGCTGATCAGTCCAGTGAGGAAGTAAGTTCCATTTTGTCAGTATCATTCTGAACCCTAAGACCCGTTAACATGACTTTATCATATTTTAAAACTATTTTCTCGATACCAGCAATATCTTTAAGGAATCCAAAAAGGTTTTGTGCCGGTGTAACGAAACTAAGGGTCAGTGTAAACAGAAAATCGGCTATTTAGTTATAATGGTTAGGGTTAGCCTGACCTAAGTTGGTCAAACTCGAGGGCGAGGCTTACCTGTACAAGTGAGTGGGAAGCGGACTCTCTATCATGGGGGACTCTGTCACGTTACTGAAGACTCTGTCTTCAGTATAAACAAACATTTAAAATACCACGATCTCTTTACATCTGTCAGAAGCAGTTCAGGGTAAATGCTTCCACAGAACGCTCAAAACTTTGTGCAGGTACAGGAAGGAGGCAACCAAAGGGTGCCGCAGAAACGCTGGATAAGCCATTAAGTTGAGTCCATGACGTGAAAGAGGATGTTGAATAACGTGAAATTTCCATTCAATAACAAAGCTTTTCACAAGTTATTTTTCAACGATTTTCCGTTGTTCCGTTTTTATTTAATTTCTGTAGAGGTAGAGAGATAAGAACTAATATTCTGTATCTTATTCAGGCATATGTGCTGGCCCGCTTGGTGGAGCAACTGGCAAACGATGATGTTGAAGATGCTGACGATGAGGAGGGAGAAGAGTGACAAAACTGGACTCTGAAGATCACACGAGAATCAGACTTGGCCCTCCAGACGAGAACCAAACGTTAAGCATCTGCTGTCTCGTCTGTAGTCATTTGACTTCCAGTTGCCTATTATTCAGTTCCCTGATATACGCAAACGGTTCTTAATCATGGCATAAACTTGGTATACATGACTGTTATAAAGACGGACAATAAAATTGAGCTACAATGAAGGTGCAGGGCCTTCTTGAATAAAAAAATTAAGAACCGATTAAAGTTTACTTTTGTTGGATGTTTTTCGTTTATTAATTTAGTAAACATGAATTTAATCAAATCAAAGCGTTAGATTGTCAGCAATAATACCATTATCACTGGGAACCATCCATACAATACCGTGAGATAAGTTAACAGGTTTTGAAGCTTTAGGTCTTTAACCGTGAGAGCGTGAAATTTAGACAATTTATAAGAGGAAAAAAAGATTGAAGGGTATTAATGAATTCAGCCAATCCTTTATGTAACTTAACAAACGATATATTTCCAAGTAATTTTGTTTTCGTGAAAATAATTCTACACATAAAAGAATTGAGGTGGGGCAAACCTAAAAAAAACTGAGCTAATAAATCATGCGTTCTTTTATTGTATAATAGCTTTAATCTTTTTTCTTTTTGAAAAAAAAAAAAAAAACTAGATCAAAAAGAAAAACATTTAATGTCATCCATTCAATATCATTCGATGCCAAATAGGTTTTTTTATTTATTCCCCATAGATCATTAATGTTTTGAGCACAGTCGGATAAAACCCACGCCGATCGATATTGTTGGGTTACTTGTGCACTGCAGTTTCTTTATCTCGTCAGTTTTGCATACAAAATAGTGAAAATTGCACTTATAAATTAGTGAGTTTTACAGTTATGTTGCACAAAGAACAACAATTTAAATGCAAATTATAAATTTTTCCCCACAGAAAATTTTAATTAAAGTTTTTCATGAACGGTGAATCATAATAAGGGAAAACAACTGTTAATTTTGGCCAAAAAACAGATTTTCCTGGGACGAACAACCTTTTTCCCATACTTCCCAATAGTTGTGGATTTCGTTTGGACATTCGAAGTTATTCCCGGTTTTTTAATAAGTTTGGTTTTTCGTTTAAATCTCATAACGGATTATTACAGATGATGGCCATCTATAGAGGTCACATGATCCGATAACAAGTACAGATTCCAGAACAATTGCGATAACTGCCATTTTTGTGTTAAATATTTTTTTGATGAATTGTTACAATGAATTAATTCAGAAATATGAAAATCATACGAAGAGTTGTTATGAACGATAGCATTTTTACAATTTTTACAATGAATAAATGAATGGATATTTTGTGCATAATCGACTTAAATTCATACATATATTTATTGTCTTTTCATTCACCATAATGCCTTTGAAGGCCCGGAATGTTCCTGAAAGAAATTACAATGATTCTTTAATATTTTTTTCATTTCCAGAATCCTGTCCCTCGTGCTGCGACATTGCTGCCTTGCCCCAATTTTAGTCTCCGCTTCGCATTTAACGATGCACTCCATTGCCGTACAATAGGCCGACAGCCTTAGTGCTAGCACAAACTTTATCCATATGTCTTTTCGATTTCCAAGATTTTTTTTCGCATTTCATTCCTGTCATTCTGTTCATGTGTTCACCTAGTCATTTGCATGCCATCTATTTATCCACAAAACCCGCAATCAAAAGGTTACTGTGCGTTGAACAATAAAGTAAAACTTGAACAGTGACGTTTGCAACCCTGAAGAACGCTGGCGGCAACAATCACTGTGATTTCAGCTTTCTTTGAACAGTTTCATTCAGTTGTTCTAACTGTTCTAAGAGACGTAAAGATGACTCTTCATCTAGGTCGGTGAGCTAGGGAAAAAAAACGAGAAAAAATATCAACAAATGAATCAATGTGTGAAATTTTCTTCTGTCAGATATGAATGTGTAAATAACAACAATCTGGAACCGATTCCTTACCTTTTTGGGTGTTGTGTACAATTTTCCAAATCCTGTTACAGAGCTATGGTATTTGAATGTCGAGTCCAAAGACTTCGGGTCTTGTTGGGAAACCCACACCTAAAGCAAGCAGAAAATTTACTTAACGGTAAAAATAAATCGGCGATGTGCCAAGTCAGAACCTCGAAGATCCCATATTTTGGATTTAAGAGAAGACGTAAAAGGAGAAAATGAATTCTGCGCTATTTGTCTTCAGCTAATCCGACCACGCAGGACGCCCCGCCCCCACACCGTGACATCGCCAATACTCACCAACGACTCGGATCCGCTGTATGTATCTATGGTAGCACTACATATAAAGAATCGGAGCTGAAAGGAAATAATGTACGCCATACAACACTAAAATTTAACAGCAGGGTTGACAAATATATGGAGAAATAATATAAAAAGCCATTCTCATTGCGCCATAATAACACAGAAAAGCACGCGGAACTTTTCATTGTTAACAAATCCAATTTTGCATATGTTTACAGCAAGCGGGTTTATGAACAGTGTATACTTGTAAACAAAAGAATTGCAAAGCAGCACACATTAAGTCGCGAAAACAGTATTAATCAAATAGGTTTATACACTTATATTTCTTCCAGTTCTTTTTACTAAAGTGATAACGGACACTGCTCTTATGATGTGTCCATAAATTCTCTTAAATCAGTATTTTTATCACAAAAAAAAAAAAAAAAGAAGAAAATAACAAGTAAAAATAAAAGAGAGAGAGAGAGAGGGAAAAAGAGAGCGAGCTAGAGGCATGAATCTTACCAAGAAGAGTATTGGCATTGCTAAGGTCCAGAACCAGGACGGCATGATACCGTGTGTCATGTTAGACATTACTATACCTGGGTTGGTGACGTGGGAATAAATATTCTGAAAACAAAAAAAGTTAAATGTCAAAATAAAAATTAATTGATATATTAAAATTGCCCCCTCTTTTCAACAATTGAATCGAGTTTTCAGTCCTAACAGAAGGAAAATTATGCTCCTCAAAACACAAAATAGACTTTCACTAGAAATATGACTTATTACAATATGCGTACCTTTTTGTTAAGTGTTTTGTTGAGTGCTAGACTTAGCATGTCCGTGGCATACTTAGACGAGCTATACGCAGACGTCCTGGAAAAAGAAAGGCATTTTAAGAATGGGTACCCATGGCTAGATCGATCCATCTGGATCGGTCTAACTCCCTGGGGAGTCTCACTAAATTGGTATCAACTTAACCAGCTTACTTGTCTGTCACGCCTACCAAATCAGCTAGGGGCTGAAGATAATTACCCCCTGACAACTTTACTAGGCGTGACAGACATTTAAGCCGTTAAGTTGATAGCAATTTAGTGAGACTCCCCTGGGAGATAGATTGATCCAAATACGTGGGAATGGTCCCTTAGAAGTACTGAATTTTCATGGTGGATTCATAATCTCAAACTGTTCGTACTAAATTACATAAATACAAAGGGTTCATGTTCCGCTGTATCTATATTTACCCTATTATATCTTTAAAGTGCAAAATCTACTCCTGGGCATATCCCATAATACTCCGACAATTAAAAAAAAAGTAGTAAAAGGCATTTTGACGCGTTTGAGATTACGAACTCGGTGGCCATACTTAACAATTTACATATGTTACATAATTTACAAATATATAATATGAGATTCATTCTTACCCTCTTCGGTGCTGAATGTCATCAAAACTGAAGGTGTCCTTGCACGCGTTACTAGAAGACGACCATATGACCTGAGTTGGCTGGCTGCCACCAAGAATATCTTCTAATTCTTTTATCTGGAAAAGTAAATAAATTGCATAATTATTAATTATTCTTTCTTACTGTCTTCAAATGGGAAGTGTGTAGTCTTTTTAAATAATTTAAATACCAAACCAATAACCTCAGCAGGTTATAGAATTGGGAACGTGTTTGTGTGTGAGTGCCCAAACTTCCCTAAAAATACATAGAACTTGGGCTTAAAGGCGCAATCATCAAATCTTGTCATCACATGCTTCAGAAACACTTAATAAAATATCAACCATTACATTCTCCATGTGCTCAGTGCGTCAACTTTATTTTAGGCACTGTTCCCTTAATGCGGCCATGACCCCTTCATTATCACTGACATGTGGAAACGCCGTAGCACTTGACGGCGCGTCACTCTAGAGTGGTGACCCAAATATCGAACTGGTAGGTAAGTAATGCGTTTCTTATTCCTTTAACATATTTAAAAGATATTGAGGTATTTAGACGCGCTTAAATGTACATCTATTAGGGCGAAAAAAGGGGGCTAACTAAAAGTTAAACGCATAAGAAGCCGATGGGTACTAAGGGTTTTAGAGAGATATTTGCAGGGACAATTCGGTTTAACGCAATTTCTTTCAATGCGCACAACGAATGACGTCAAATATGTTGCAACATCCAAGGAAATACCAAAGCTTCCACCAAGTTATGACCTGAATTTTCCACACTTATTTGAGGTATGGGTACCGATTTTATGAAGACAAACGAAAGATTTTACAATGCTTGTATTACAACAGTAGCAGAGAACCTGAATTTTCACACTTATTTGAGGCCGGGTACCGATTTTACGAAGACAAACCAAATATTTCACAATGCTTGTATTAGAAGAGTAGCTGAGTGACCGTTGTAAAGGTTATCAGCTCTCAAATTTAATCCACGTTGTTTCACGTACTACACAGGACACAATATAAAACATAACTAATAAGTAACAAATGTTTAACAATAAAGTAAATAAATAAATAACCAACCTAGCAAACAAATAAATAAATTGAAAAATAAAATAAATAAAACAATGGAAAGAGGGCATTTGCTGCCAGATCGGCTTTTGAAGGTTTAGTTCTGCTTGTGGAGGGGCAAACACCAGGATATGTTTTTCCACTATGTTTGTCCTCTGTCTTAATACTCCCCTGCCCTGACGTTAGGACTTAAAATAAATCCTTGTCAGGAAAGGTGTGTTAACCCACGTGATAGCGACAGGGTTAAAAGAAGGTGTGCCCTTTCGTTAAGATTAAAAGACGGTAGCACGGGAAACAGCTACAAGCGCACACGGGACATCAGTTATCAGTTTACAAGAATTGGAGATTAGCTTTGGTTTTGTGCCATCAGAGTTATTTAATTTGTAAAAAATTGCCTTATTTCAGGAATTTAGTATTTCAAAGAGTCCAGGAAGTCGGTCTAGGCGGGACAGCGTCTGTCGAATCTACCTGTAATATTTACTAGCACTTCAACGACTCAACAAGAACCGAGAACAAAACCCAGTCCTGTTACAGAAACATGGCGATACGCATGGCATGCTTTGCGGCGACTTTCGCAACGATTATAACCATTTCTAGTGCCTACCCCCACTATGGTAATAAGCTTCCTAACGGCCAGAACGTCCCTCACCCATGCAAGGAGAACACCAAGTGGCTGGCATTAGGACATGTCAAGTTGGCAGGCGGACAGCCTAATAACCAGTTCGGACTGGTAGGTTGACTGGGTTTGTTTTAACTTTATTTCATTTAGGATCCAAGATAGAGCTTGGACCCTAAATTTCATTAAGCGTTCACTCCTCAACATACCAGGGCCGTAGCCTGAGCAAAATGNCGACGACGGCGACGACAGACGCAGATGATTGCAATATGTACAGACACATCTGTGTCTGTACATAAAAATTGCCTTATTTCAGGAATTTAGTATTTCAAAGAGTCCAGGAAGTCGGTCTAGGCGGGACAGCGTCTGTCGAATCTACCTGTAATATTTACTAGCACTTCAACGACTCAACAAGAACCGAGAACAAAACCCAGTCCTGTTACAGAAACATGGCGATACGCATGGCATGCTTTGCGGCGACTTTCGCAACGATTATAACCATTTCTAGTGCCTACCCCCACTATGGTAATAAGCTTCCTAACGGCCAGAACGTCCCTCACCCATGCAAGGAGAACACCAAGTGGCTGGCATTAGGACATGTCAAGTTGGCAGGCGGACAGCCTAATAACCAGTTCGGACTGGTAGGTTGACTGGGTTTGTTTTAACTTTATTTCATTTAGGATCCAAGATAGAGCTTGGACCCTAAATTTCATTTAGCGTTCACTCCTCAACAAACGTCATCTATTTCTTTGTTTTAATTAATGCATTTTTTGCTCTCAAACCAATCTCTTAAACAATTTTTCACTTATTAATTTTCGGATTGTCTTCACCTGTTGATTTTTTTATGGCGGCACTATTTAAGTTTCTTGTTTATCAATAAACTTATCTATTCTCTATTTTTTTCTATTTTAAATGGTGACCTTATGCTACAAATCTCCCATGTAAACAATATAAGGTACCTGGACAATTCGAATAAACAATCCGAAACAATTACCGACACTGCGTTATTTACCAAGATTTATCTTATCTTAGACCAAAATGAGAAGAAATCTTTTTGTATGGACCACCGTTCAAATCACCTTTGACATACATAAACCTTCAGCGTTTCTTGATTATCAGTCTTACCACCCTCCCTCCCCCATTCAGTTGATCAATATTTTTTTAATTACCTATTAACTTATTGGTCCAGTAGAATTTCCATTGTCTTCTCCATAATGTTTAAATGTCGTCTCAAAGATATTTCAATAGTGTTAATAACGAACACACTGATTTCGCAGGTGTTTCATCTCTATTATATGTATTGTTGGTTGGTGTATTTAAAATACATTTTTGTCAAATCGTTACAATAAGACCAAAATGAGTCCGTGAAAATATTTCTTTATAATACGGTTATTACTAGAAATATTGTTCCTCTTCAGGACTTTAAGGCCGCTAATTACCAGTGGACCCCTGAGCTGTGCAGGAAGGACTCTGATCAGGACGGGAAGACGAACGGTGAAGAACTTGGAGACCCTAACTGTGCCTGGCAAGAAAACTCGGCCTCGGCCGTTCTAAGGACCGAAAATATTACGCACCCTGGTAATAATTAAAATTACAATGTATATTTGAAACTAAAAACCGCTGAATTGAACGATAAAATACATACTGAAAATGTGTTTTTTCAATACGGAACAAGAGCACTCACAGACATCAGTCAAGACAAATAATACAACTAATAATACACCGTTAATTAATATACGGTTAATTTACTTATAATTTACCATTAATTTATTAATGAGTCATCACCGAAATGTAATAATTTCTTCCTTGGCCCATTTGTGACATAGCCTAAAGATTTAGTCAAAATTTGTTCATTTCTTTTTGTAAATAATTAGTTCCTTTTAGTAAATAATTAGTTAATAAATTAAAGGATCGCCAAAATCTTGTCAATTCTTCCTTGATCAATTTGTGGCGTATCCTTAAATTTCAACAAAATCTTTTATTATTTTTTGCGTTAAACTGGTAACGGACAAACAAAGAAAAAACCAAATCTCCTTCTCAGAGGTAATTAAAGTCAACTTGCTTCCTCAGGTATTTGTGAACCGGTGGACTCAGCACATTGTCGTCGTGTTCAGAATTTCACTTACGAATGCCAGGGAGAATACAACTGCACCGCTACCAAGGAGTCACACGTGAAGACCTTTGACCTCAGGTTTCCAGAAACCTCAGTACCAGCAGTGGAAACGACTTACATATGTAATGTTTTCAAGGTAATCATACAGTTGGCGTTTTTCAAAAATAATTATAATAACAGTTTCAATTTGGGGGAAGAGAGGAAAAAATTAAGGAGAACTTGCCATAGAATGCAAGGCAAGTATATGTAGTGAACATTACCAACAAGTACATGTGCAGATGCAGCAGGGTTCGTACATAACAATATATATATAAATAGGCATATTATAAATCTAGGCATATGTCCATATTTTGATCATACACCGGCATTCATCGTTTCCTTGCAGGTTCCAACTGATAAAAGGTACCACGCTGTCGCGTTTGAACCCATTATTGGCAACATCATGGTTCTTCACCACATGACTGTTTATGGGTGCTCGAAAAAGCCGCAGAGAATGGTAATTAACCCAGACATTTTACTTTGTGGCATATTTAAATAAATGTGTTAAAAGTAGTTAAATCTTTAATCCACCAAAGATCCCCAGTTGAATAAAATGTTAATCGTCACGGCGTATTTTTCGCCTGTGTTTCATCTCTATTATGTTTTGTTGGTGTATAAAAATACATTTTGTCAATTCGTCATAATCAGGCCAATTTTGCAGCCATAGGGTTTACGGCTGCTATGCGGGTTTCTGTTTCACTTTGTTTTTATCCGATTACTGTAGATCTAAAGTAGATATATTATCAATAACTGAATCGTTTTCAAATTAACAGGGCCCCCATCAATGTAACATGGTTCGTGAGTGCCAGCAATTACTAACAGTTTGGTCCACTGGGATGGAGGGCTACTGCCTTTCAAAGAATACAGGGGTTCCATTTGGGAATGGCTCGTATGAATATCTGGCTGTAGAAATACACTGGAACAACCCAGAGCTGAGATCAGACTACACAGGTAGGCTGCACATTCCTGAAAATGTTTCAATATTATGTCGGTGTGACAAAAATGCCGATGGTAGTCCTAGTACAGGAATTCAAGACCTGGGTCCCATATGATTAGTACAGGTTAGGGTACACGTATGTAAGAGTATGGGGTTTAGTAAATGGGATGAATGTCAGTCACCTGTACACATTAATGGGGAGCAAACTATGGTTCCTAGTGGGCTACCATCCCTGTCACACCATTATAATGTGATGACACAGCGTTAGATGACAAGGGTGTGTAAAGAGAACTTCGCTTAATAAAACATTTTCAAGGTCAACAATTAATTTTTAAATGACAATGTCTGACTGGTCTGTATGGAAGTAAATACTGTATTTTTTAATTTTTTTTATAAATTTTATTTTTTAAAATTAAATTTCATTCTTTAATTTTTATAATAGAATAATGCATGGCGAGTATGTTTGGACCTGTAGACGCATATGTATGACTTTTTTACAAATGTATTTTGTATATATATATATATATATATATATATATATATATATGTATGTACCTACATGTGTGTATCATCCTTAAAAATTCATCAACAATAAAGGTTAAAAATTGAACTGAAATTCCAGACAACTCCGGAATGCGCATGTTCTACACTGACCAGCTACGCCCGTTCTCTGAGGGAACAGCGGCATTTGGTCAGTATGCGCTGGAGATCCCCCCAGGAGTGGACAGTTTGACCATGTCCGGGGTGTGCCAGTCCAAGTGTACCGAGGAGAAGTTTAATCAGGACATTAATGTGACAGCAGTTCTTATGCACATGCATTATCAAGGTACTGTGTATACAACAACACAACCATTTATTGGAATTAGTATTACTACAGTAAACAGACAGCAAAGCTTACAAATGTACAGACAATAAACAAAAAAAAAAAAAAAAAAAAAAAAAAAAAAAAAAAAAAAAAAAAACACATCCCAAGCCATTTTGGAAGCATATTTTAATTTTTTAAAATTTTCCTTAACAAATAAAAAGTATTGGTGAGAAGACTAACAGTTTCATATAATAATGCTGGTACCTAAGCATGTAAAAATGAGAGAAAAATATTTTTTAAATGGTACAGTAGGCAGTCATTATAAAATATGCCTTTTAATTTCCAAGAAAAATATTTAGTTTCTTTATACATGTATTTTGCTATATTTCCCCAGGTATAGCAGGGAAACTAGAACAATGGAGAGATGGCAAACTACTGAGAGTTGTAGCAGACGATCCATTCTATACCTATGAAACACCAAATTTGCACACCTTTGACCCTCCCATCGTCTTTAAAAAAGGTAGTTTTTTTTTAATCAAGAACATGTTTCATCTGGTTGTATTACTTTAGTATTTTGAGACCAAGATTTATTTTAACCATCCAAATGATTAAGGTAATTGATGTTATATAAGAATTACCTATTTCCCTCAGAAAATGTTTATCTTTGTTGTTCTAAATAAACAGTTAAGAAAGTTGTATAGCTATAAAGAGATATAATAAAAAAAACAAATTGTTTTTTTCTGCAGGTGATGAGTTCCGCACATATTGTACATTTACCTCAAAGCGCGGTAAAAAGCAGCGACATGCCAATACAACCTATTTTGGGCTAGGAACACAGGTAGGAAAATCAGGCCAAATCAGTCACATTGCGTACAGTTGTGGCAGGGGGAGGGAAAGACATCCCTGACTGGGTTTTAATTACATAACTACCTTTTAAAGGTGTTATTTGTCAGATTTTAGCATGAAATAAGTACAAATTCAATCATATCCTTATTTGGCACAATAGATATTGTTCATATGCATAAAAAAAAAAAANCCGCACATATTGTACATTTACCTCAAAGCGCGGTAAAAAGCAGCGACATGCCAATACAACCTATTTTGGGCTAGGAACACAGGTAGGAAAATCAGGCCAAATCAGTCACATTGCGTACAGTTGTGGCAGGGGGAGGGAAAGACATCCCTGACTGGGTTTTAATTACATAACTACCTTTTAAAGGTGTTATTTGTCAGATTTTAGCATGAAATAAGTACAAATTCAATCATATCCTTATCTGGCACAATAGATATTGTTCATATGCATAAAAAAAAAAAATATATATATATATATATATATATATATAGAAAACTGAGTGTTATAATTATAAAATTCACCATAATTGTACCTGGTTTAACCTACATTGTATGTCATTTCAGTGGTCTCTTTATCTGTCAGTGCTTGCTCTTTATTTCAGGATGAAATGTGTTTTGCTCTCATCAGCTACCATCCACTGCAGTCCAACAATCCAGACTGTGTTCAGTTTGACAATTATGACAGTTGTGGGGGTCATGGTAACTGTTTTTATTTCCATTATTCTTTAATTTTATCTCCAAGTTTTTACTAATAAAAGCTACTTTAATGCATCAAAAATATTTCTCATGTAAAATCTTACAACTGTACGAAGGAAGGAATTGCTGCTTGACCTTACTTCTGGCCATTTATTTCTTTTAAGCTTTCAATTGAGCAAATTCATCTTGATTTACATCTGGATTTTATATTTTGTTGAGATCTTTATGTAATTGTATTTCAATTTGTATCTTTAAAATATCAAAGTAGTATTGCAATTGTCAGCTGTAGTCAACAACTTAAAAATTTTACCTTCAAGCATTTGGAAACTGTGACTTGGGAAAGTACTACAGAGTGCTTGACAATGTGAAGAAAAATGGAGAGTTTCAGAAGGTCTGTGATATACAAGATGGAAGACACTGCTCAAGGAAGTGCCATGAAATTGTTGAACCAGTCATGAATGATCCTTGTATGCAGGTGGGGATTTAAATACCATGTCACACCTAACACACTGTCACACCTAACACACTGTCACATCTAACACAGTTTCACACTAACCAACTTCACACCTAACACATTGTCACATCTTATACCCTATGTCATGTTACACATTATCACATCTATCACAGTGCCAGATCCAACACACTATCACATCTAACAAACTTTTACACCAAACACACTTTCACACCTAACACACTGTCCAAAGATTCATTCTACATTTTCAACTTGGTCCTGATGTATATAAATAGGGGCTCACTTTAACACATACAGTTTTTTTTTAGAAGTGGGAGCATATGGGACCATTTTGTAATAAGGTGTAAATGATACCCAAAATTTGTATTATAGAAAAACCTAGCACCTGTTTCACTCCTGAGTAATGTATCAAATTATAAACCAATACAAAAATTGCGATATTTCAGGGCAAGTTGAGGAAGATCATCCCTTCGTTTGACCCAGTGTTCAAGCCAGCTGAGGTATTGAGAAGTGTGTCAGCATGCGAGAAAGGGATCTACGACCTTGCAGATCATGTACAATACATCAGTGCTGCTCCCAACCTGCAGTCAAGCTTAATGGCACCTGCGTTCCTCGTTTTGGCTCGATTCATGTGAATTTAAGATGACTTTGGTGATGATAATGTGTTGACTCCAGTGTGACAGTGATTTTTGTTTATATGCTTAAGTGACTGGGATGCTTTAATTCATTTTCCCCTTAAAAAATCCTAATCTTAATTTGTTCCATTTACCATTAAAATGCCCCTAAGCATTTATTGTAGACACCATTGCTATAGGTTACAATCAATACAAGACAGATGTTTGAAATAATGTTTCTTAATCTCAAACTAACAAACTAAATATTCATCATGTAGTAAAAAAAATTAATCTAACAATTATTTTAAAAATGTAGACTCCATTTCTTTGGCTAGTGTAAGGCAATCAGTTGTAGCTTTGCTCGATCATAGCCTCAGGAATATGTAAAATAAGTATAATAATATAACCTACCATCACAAAGTGCCCAAATATATTAGTTGCAAAGACCATTTGAAGCCCCTCCTCAGTCACTTGATCTTTATGCTCTAGCAGCCCTATACCAGTGTGGAACATGTGGAAGACATTTCTGAAAAAAATAAAGTAAAATATTTTCTCTGCACAGACATCTTCATTAACTGTCTTGTGGATATGGCGGTCACACCCAATGCTTTTAAATTTGGACAGATATCGTTAGCTTTAATAACATTTGGTATATATATGTCTATGTATATTTGAGGCACGTAAACAGAAATGAGCTACATATTTTTTCACTTTCAAAACCTAATCAGCAGGCAGCATTTTTTTCTATCTCATCTAGCACAATTTTATATAATTTGCCGGAATCTGTTATTGAATTTGCTATTGCTAAATTTGTGCAATAAATATTTAGTTTTACAAAATTGAACTGTGTTATCTCTTTGGGTTTCATGTACAAAACACTTCCACATTACCATGTAAGCACGTCAGTTTATGCATGATAAAAATATTAAGTTTTAACATGACTGAATTAAAATTCTTTTTGGTGTTGCTGTAACTCCTTCAGCCAGTAGTTATGGTGTAAAAGAAGGGTTGCCCTAAAAATAGGTTTCTAAAAATGTAAGAGAAACCATTCATGTCATAAAGAAAGGCCACTGTGTGCTAAAATTCAGAACTCACTCAGAAAACAGCCCTTTCCAGAAGTTTGTCCAGTTTACCCTCGTTTCTCCCATAACACCAGCATTTAGAAAGAGATAGTCCAGTCTTTGATATCTGAAGAAAAAAAATTATTGTAGCACACAAAATAAATATAACAATAATAAGTTAATTGCTGTTCATACACCAGGGACATCTTGTTACAGTACATGTTATGTTATGAACTATAAAAGTTAGAATAATAAATGCCTTTAGTTTTCGTATTTGATTATTCTTTTACAACAACATCAACAATAATAATAATGTCACTTGTGGTAATGAAAATGGTTATAAGTGTGAGTTTAGAACTTGTTAGATTACAACAACAACAACAATATAATAATAATAATAATGTGGCATTAAATGTAAGTTAAGCTCTTGTGTAGAACAGTTTCATTAGCTAAGGGAGGGGCTGGCAAGGGGGGGGGGATCTGACAAAATAGCACACCAGAGGGGGTGACAGATTGTCATACTTGTCACAATCTCATTCCCTGACGAAATCTGAATGCAAGCAGATGAAATATTGGATGGTAAGATAGACAAAAGAATCGTTACAAGTTAAGCTCTTGTTTGAATGGATACAAGTCCCTGTACATTGTTTGAGTACATCATACTAGCACTAGTATAAGTTACACAGCATATGTACTACTTTGTCCGACTAACCTAGCAACCCACCTCATCTTAATCTCCACCACTGCCTGCTGGACAGAGCTCACTCGGCTGACATCCACCAGGACCAGGTCTATCTCGGCCCCAGGGTGGGACAACTTCAAGGTGGCCACCGCTGCTTCGCCCCGCCTCTGGTTCCTGCAGGCCAGACAGAGATGTATCCCTGGGTGGGCAGTCAGCACTCTCTCTGCCAGTGCAAGGCCTATACCACTGTAAATATATCATCTTAAATCTTTATGTTTAAGTACATGTACAGATATCTTATGTCAACAGACGTATCTGGTTTGATCTATCACACTGGAGTGTGTGAACTTATATGATTAACTACATGACATGCCTTAAAAAACTACTATTGCATGTACAAGATAATTAAGAATAAATTTTACTTGCATGTCAAATTAATCATTTGCTTATGTTACTTTAAGCTGAAATCACAAAATTTGCTTGGTAATTGTTACCATTAATGTACCAGATACAATAGTGCTCAATATTGAAAGGGTTGAGTGGGGCTGGTCGAAAAAAGACTGAAAGTTGGCAAATTATTGTTTTATAAATCAAAATCTAATGTGAAATACCATACAATAAGTACCAGTATACATTGCACAGGGGTTCTGCACGTGTGTATTAAAACTATTATTTTGCCTGGCAATGCATTCAAACGCCAATGAAAAATCCATATGCAAAGTTACTACGAAAGCAGCTGCATTGGTACTGCCAGAATCATGCTTGTATAAATATATTTTCGGTCAGTCATGCAAAATAGCAATTTCCTCTTTACTACCAGTAATACTGCAAGTGCTGTGTACCAATACGCGTTATAATAAATGCTCTACTCTAGCAACAACAACAAAAAATAATGCTTTCATCATTTCTTAACTGAAATATTAATTGCAATTTACATCATGAGATTTTCATATACTTACGAACTTGCCCCAGTAATAAGTGCAACTTTCCCTGACATTACTACAGAGAAAAAGGTGCCTCAATCCGATAGTAAAAATATTTTTAGTGAAATCTGCAGTTTTGTTTTGGCGGAAGTAGCTGTCGCACGTGCCCGGAAGTTGATTGCCGGTCAATCGCTTAACATCATTGGCCAGAAAAATTCTGGTACGATTGCCAACGACTAATCAAATCCTTGGAGACATAATCACCTTATTTCTGTAAACAATCACACACATGTGCGTGAACGGAGTTTTGCACTCAGGAGTGATAAAAACCGACCTCTGGTCTGCCGAGTTTTGCGCGACCAGTGAGGGTCTAGTTAATTTTCAACACTGCATACCCCGGGGCTTAGAACTAACGAACTGTCTGTGAAATTGGGCAGCGTTTGCGACGAGAAGCTCCTTTCTAAGCACCCCCCACCCATTGCGTTGCGTGCACAGTTGCAGACGATTTTTTTCGACCTTACACAACCAGAGGATAATATTAGTTGTCCAGTTGCGGCTCATATGTCACCCTAGGACGCTCTGATGGATCTTGTTAAGTCTATACGCTATCCTGAAGAAGTGTATGCACTCTTGAAGTACAAATTCGGAGGTTGTCAGGCTGTTATTTCCAAAAATGACTTGGTAAGATTGTGTGAAAAAGTTTTTTTTTTTTTTATTTTATTTGTATTTTTATTATTATTTTTTGGTGGTGGGGTGGGGGAGCAATCTTTATTCTCTTTTGTCAAGGCTAACAGATTGCAGGTGGTCTTAAGCAAAGGAAAAAGAGTGGTAGATGGATAAAGAAGTGTTTTTCTGATACAATAAAATGTAAGAAACTAGTGTCGTGGCCATGACTAATACTAGCTGTACTGGTATTTATTCTAAATACTGTATATAGCATAAACTGGTATGGCTGTTGTTCATTTTGTAAGAAAACTTGAACTTTTCAGAAAAACGAGTCACCGCAGCTAAGAAAATGCTATGAGTACTTGAACAAAACAAGTAGAAGTTTTGCTGCAGTCATTCAAGCCTTGGATAGGGAGCTCAGGTATGAAAAAAATTATTTAAAGAACAAAGATTTTGTCATGTTGTGTTACACATAGGCACTCCCTTCTTTCATCTCTCTCTCTCTCTCTCTCTCTCTCTCTCTCTCTGCCATTTGCTCATTAAGCTACCTACCGGTACATGTTGTACTCATTCCCTGTCAACCAGTTTTGTTTTACTTTAAAATCGGCACAAACAGTAAACAATCATCGAGCCAAAAAATACCAAATATTGATACCAGTGCATGCTTGTGTTAGATCTAAGATGACAAGATAAATTACACTCCTTTGGGGAACGTACCTCGTGGAGAGCATCAGTTGCAAAGAATTACTTTTTATTATAATAATATTCCAGACATGCAGTGTGTATATTCTATCTTGTGTTGAGAGCTCTAGACACAGTGGAGGATGATATGACAATACCCCTGGAGGTCAAGGTGCCGTTACTGAGGTCATTCTATACCAAGCTACAGGAGCCAGACTGGTGTTTCATGGACAGCAAGGAGAAGGACAAGATAGTTTTAGAGGACTTTTCAACTGTGAGTCCCTTTTTCTTGTACTTTTTTCATCCTGAATATGAGAAAATCCTTTTGTTATCTAGGTAAAATGCAATTGGTTACAGTATGTAAGTTTTAAATTGGGGCTTAATTATGATGAGGTCAAATGATGGGAATTTGCACACAACTTGTCACATTGTGAAGCAAGTTATATTTAATTTCTTAAAAACTAATTTTGCACTTGAACTTTTTTTGAACACACATTCATTCAGGCCTCTCATGTAAGTATTTGTAATTTGTCTCTTTTTTTAAACCTTCTAGATCTCTCATGAATTCCGTAAGCTTGCCCCCCTGTACCAGGAGGTGATCTCAGATATCTGTTGCAAGATGGGAGATGGTATGACAGTATTTCTGGAAGGCCATGTTGATTCTAAAAAACAGTGGGATGAGGTGTGTAGCATGATAGTTGTGATATCGCAATTCAGTCACACCTAACACCATAACATTATGTACTTCATCATGTATGTATAGATTATATTTTCATTTTAAATTAGTTATATCATTTTGGGACAGATATTTTTACTTGGTTGTCAGCCTGACCAAACTTGTTTCTGCCTCATGTGTAAACAAAATGCAATCATCACACATAACACAACTGTATTTTTAGCAGACCTGGTGGTTATAGGCATTTCTAGATTATTTTCATTCCTTAAAAGTATAACACAATGAACATTTCACACCTAACACATTTATATTCCAGTACTGCCACTACGTAGCAGGGCTAGTGGGTATAGGCCTTTCCAGACTCTTTTCTGCATCAGGGTTAGAGGACAGTATCGTAGGACAGGATACCAGACTGGCTAATTCTATGGGACTCTTCCTTCAGAAGACAAACATAATACGAGACTATCTTGAAGATATAGAACAAGGAAGGGAGTTCTGGCCTAAGGAGGTGAGGAGCAGTGTGTTAGGTGTGATAACAAGGAAGCGAGTTCTGGCCTAAGGAGGTGAGGAGCAGTGTGTTAGGTGTGACAACTCATTGCTTTCTTTTAATCAAAGGTTTCTGTCATGTATGCAATTAACCTTACCTCCTCTATTATTATTATTATTATTATTATCGTCATCATTATATTTGTTATCATTATAATGTTTGTAGGTTTGGAGCAAGTATGCCAATAAACTTTCCGACTTTGCTGACCCGGCAAACCGACGTGCTGCGTTGTCATGTCTGAATGACTTGGTGACCAATGCTCTTCATCATGTACCAGATGTTCTGCTGTATATGTCCAGGATAAAAAATCAAAGTGTTTTCAACTTTTGTGCAATTCCTCAAGTAAGCGGCAGTAGATGAAATTTGAGTTTTAATGTTGTGTTTATTGTGTTTTCCATGAATTCTTTCTTAATTAAATAAAATGTTCTTAATTTATTATTATTATTATTATCATTTATCTTATTTCATTCAAAGTGTATTGCAATTAATCTTTTAATCTAAAACTGTTGACAAATTTGTTGTGGATTTATCTTATACATGTTGTACTATATTAATTTTCTGAAGCAACACACAAAATATTAACCTACTCTTTGAATCATGTACTTAGTAGTGTACAGCCTTAGCCTACATCTGTCTCTCCCCTGTCTCTTTCTAGGTCATGGCTATAGGAACATTAGAGAGATGTTACAATAACCCAGGTGTGTTCACAGGGGTGGTAAAGATACGTAAAGGCGAGGCAGTCAGAATGATGATGTATGCCACCAGTTTGGAGGGGGTCAAGGCCATCATGTACCATTTTACTGCTCAGGTAGGGTCTGATGTCCAATTTTGTATCCTCATGATTTGATCAGAGGGGTAGTTAAGATCTTGGTTGAAGTTTTGCTAGACACGGAAAGTGAAAAAATAATGTGTACTGCGCTGTAAGTTACGTACGTGTACTAGAGCTTTGTTAGTGAACTTTAGGATATTCTCCTGAAAGGTGCTTGTATTAATACAACTGATATGTTTCTGACGATCATTTTCTGATTAAAAATAAAATTACCTTTATTTCTGACTGGGCAAAAAGTTTCTATTATCTGTGGATCTTGCTCCTTATTATTTTTTGTGGCTCATTTCTGTATATCGGATCTGTTTCAGATACTTCATTCCATTCCAAGTACAGACCCTAGTCAGAATATCACCAGACGGTGCTGCCACCAAGTGTTAGAACGGAGCTGCACAGACAAAGACTATACTTCTAGTGGGCAGTTCTTCCCTCTGTACGTTTCCTGTAGCATGATGCTAGCAGCCATAATGTGGCAGTATTGGACCTCTGTGGAGAACATTTATCACGGATATTTTGGGATGGAAAGTTGATTTTTATATACATCATGCCATCTTATATACATGCACTCAAGTGTTGTAGTGTGGTTACATGGTGGAAGGGTTATCTTGGATTGGAAACAGTATTTTTGTTCATAGCATTTGTGACAATAACAACAGAAAAAAAATAAAAAGGTTTACAAAATATATAAATAAATATAGATATCCATGGTTGGATAAAATCTTATGACATTTTCAGAGACAGTGTGATGTTAGTTTTGTGGAAGCATGCTATGTTGGGTAGGACAATTGATTACTATTCACTGCCAGTGTTCAGGATTCATTGGTTGTCAAATTATTGATGAGGTCTTTTCATACCTACAGAATTTAAGTAAGGATATTCATGTTAAAGGCTCATTTTGAAAAAAACATTTTGCTGGCATTTTTTACCTGTGAAACTAAAAAAAGTTCAGTTTTATAAGGAATACATATCAATGCTTCATAAAGTTTGTTCTTTAATTTATTTAATTGTACAGTGTATAAAGTTTCCAATATAACCTTTAAAAACAATTATAACTTGACTTTGAACAAAACAAATGACAGTTTATATTTAAATTACAAGTAATTATTCAGTTGTTATACCATTTGAAATGTATGACTTGTATGTAATCAAAGACTTGATAATTTTACAAGTGTTAATAAATATTTTTGTTGAACAAATAATGAGTGCTGCAAGTCTTAATTCTGCTATCAATGCACTTTCTGTCAACAAATTACATGACATTTTTAATCATATTTCAGTGGCATTACCCTAGGTTCTAGATTCCGGTATTGCCAGCTCGATCTTGATTTCATATATAACCCATAGTAGCAATACCAGGCTCTAGCGAACAGTGGCAACTCAGGGGCGTTCTTCTTCAAAATTCTGCCTGGGGCGCTTCCATATTTGGAAGTCACACGTCACAGCTATGTCCGCCTGGATCCATATTTGGAAGTCATAAGTCTCGTACGTCACAGGTTTGACTGCCTGGAGCTGCCTTTCCCGCCTTGCGCTGAAGTCTCGTGCAGGCGAGACAAGAAGCAATTAAAGTGCCTGACGCGGAGTTAGAAGTTTGAATTGAAAATATCTTGCAGTCGAAGGTCAGTGCCACAATACAAGCAACATTCTGCTGTAAAAACTTATTTTCGTGTAGCCATTGCGCAGCCCTTATAGTGGTATCGGGCATACAGTGTCAAATTTGGCACACGGCAAGCACATGTATTGTGCACGTGTATAACTCGGGACTAAATGTTCTTTGATAAGCAAAAAATACAAAAACATTGGATATATCTTTTCTTTCCGAAGAATATTATTATTTTTTTTTCATTTTACATCTTAAATACAGCAAATAAAATTAAATAAAGCAGAATTAAATTTGTTTTACGTTTTATTTTGGTCTGATGACATTCAACTGCATTTTCACTGCGGAGCAGTTCTATTTGATTGATGGAAAACTTTCACTGCCGCTGGTCTTCAGAGTTAGTAAAAGCGACTCCACCACAAGGTATATTTTAATAGCAAGCTAGCTTTTACGTTGCTCTGACACTCAGGGTAAGTAACATATGACTTCCAGATGAATCATGCTTTAGAAAATGGACCCATTTAGGTTTCTGGCTGAGAATTCAGAGTTTATGTTTCAACACTATTCAAATAGTCATATGATCATATCATTAGCTTGATCTTTATGATCACATAATTTATCTCTATATCTGACTTTGAACAGTTTCTAGCATATAATATTTACAATTTTGGCCCTTGAAAACATAAACCATTTCTTTGTAAGAGCAATTTGCATGAAATGCTAAAACCAATTCCTCCATCTCACACCCGCCCAGTATATTTGTGATATTTTTCGTATTCCTGATACAGTCCCTTAAAGATCTCCTTGGCTCCCTGAGACAATGCAGTGTGCAGTACAGCTATGGAGTGCTGGTCACATATACTGAGCAGCTTACACATGGCGCTGACCAGTACTTTCTGAAATATAAAAATACAACAGAGATTTAGGGTTATTCTCTAAATGTTAAACGGTACCGACCACTACTCTCTAAAATATCAACTGACTGATTTTAAAGAAATGAGACTGCTATCTCTATTTATAATGAAGCTGATGTGGCAATATTGTGGCTATTTCATTCATTTCTTAAATTTTACAAAAACCAAAATGTTTTAAGGAGGAGTTTTAAGAAATGCTAACTTTCACAGCTGGTCGTAGTGTTCCCCTTTGTAAGTAGTGCACATAGTCTGCTACCAGGTACATCACCACCTTGCTGAACTCTGACTTATGACTGATCATCAGTGAGAAAAGTCTGGAAAAATAATTTCAAAACAAAAAACTCAAGCAAAATAGAGAGATGAGATATTCAAAGCACGTAAATCCAATATCATTGTCTCTATATACTGCAACTTTATTTTGAGGAAATATTACAAGACCTATACAGTAACATTACTAATAATAATAACAATAATTTTATAATAAAATCAACCAAAGATTAATTACCTATCGGCCAGTAAAGCACACCCAACCACATCCTCTTCACCTCTTACAGCGCAATTGCCATATTGTTTCTGCCAGCCGACTTCCAAGATGGCTTCCATAAAGCTCCGAACTGCTTGCTGGAAGACTGGTATAGCACCATACAGCACTTTGGCATGGTCAATCAGCAGAGCATTCAAGACATCATAAGTTGCTTTGTGTATCTCAAAGAATTGGGTGTGGTCTTGGAGATCTTTGAGGGGAACATAGAGACAGCTGTGAAGGCAGACTAGAACAGACTGTGAGGACAGGAAGATCTGAAAGGGAAAAGTACAGAGTCATTGGTACAAAGTGGGAAAATATGGCAGTTTTTCTTAACGTATCTAAATCAAACAAAACGAAACATAACAAATACATTCATCACTGAACATGCCCACGACCACAGTGACCCCCAACATCTATAGAACCATTATGGGCCCCCAGTGTGTTACTATTTCAAAGTAAATTTTACAGCAAATCTCAATATGTGCTATTCTTCAGAGACCCATCAATGGTCGATAACATGAATTATCATCTATTCTGTTTCAATTCTTTCAAATTCAAGTTAGGGAATTTCATCCAGCAACAAGCCAAGTCAAGAACCATACCTTTTTCTGTGAAAGAACTTTAGTTACAAACTGCAGAACTGGCAGCAGTCCAGCCCCCTGTTGCAATGGTGTCTTCGTCTGCAAATCAAGGGCCACACCCTGAAGCAAGAGGTTTAGATTTTGCACTGAGACTGCCAGGCTTGGCAGCTTGGTCTCCTCCAGCTCTCTGTCAACCAGGGTGGTCCACACATAAAGGACAGATGGTGTGAACGGATAAGTGGTCCTGGCCATCAGATCATGGAGTAGTGATTGAAACTGTTCTACGCTACACTTTTGCAACATGGTGACTAGAACTTCCAGCAATAAATCTCTGACTTGCTGGAGCTGCTTTTCTTCAAATTCACAAATTGTCTGTGAAGTTTTCAGTTCTCCCACGTCTTTCTTGCTTAACATTTTACCAGTGTTACAAAATGAAGATTTCCCACTTTCACTTTCTTCAACACCAGTATTCTGATTGGTAGTTTCTTTTTCACCAGATTTCAGCTTGGTAGTTTTTAAATTTCGACTTTCTTGACTGACAGCTTTTGTATCACCAGATTCCTGATTGGCAGTTTCTTGATCACCTGATTCCTGACTGGCAAACAGCCTTCTATAGCAAGTAAGACAACTTTTCCAGGCACTATCAACAAGCTCTTCATCTATAGTAACCTCTGACACAGACTTAATGAAGTTCAAACAAGACTGAAGGATATCATGGTTACTTTCATCCTCTTCTAATAGCCTTAAACACCTCTGGCACATGGCAGATATGTTTTCATTGTTTTCTTGCAATCTTCCTCCATGTAGTAAAGCACAATAAGCATCTAGACGTAAGGCAAAAGTGGGACATTCAGAGCATTCCGCTGCTTCCTTGATGGCATTTGATACTTGAAACTCCACTTGTTTCAGACACGCTACGCAGGCACTTTCTAATGTGGAATCCATGTTGGGCTTTTTAAGGAGCTTGAAAAAAGTTCAAATCATCACAGACTAACCCACAATTGTAAATTGTAACATTATTTATCATAATTTTATTTCCACATAAAAGCAAATATTACCTTATGGTACAAATTGAATTTTTATTTGCAAGATAACTTATTCCCTATTCACTTACCTTGAGGAGCTGTTTTGTCAACTTCTCTGTGAAAACCAACCACATGTGTGTTTGTCTGTCTTCCTTGAGCTAGAACAAAACAACAAGTTCGCCAGTCAATCACACATTGCATTAATTGATAACTGTAAATTTGAAAAGTCAAGTATCAACTTATACACAAACATACACACACAAGGAATGCCTTATATATTAGCACATAAGAGCTCTCTGAATTCGCCTTATTCATATAGACCATAATTCTTTGTGCGCAACAGGAGTTCCGGTATTTTTTTCCCCATATCAAATCTATAGACGCGCGAATAAAATGCCGTACAGGTAAGTGAAAAATGATTATTAAATTTCAAATAAAATAGATATGCGTAAATCTAATATTTCTACTCATGATGATCACATTTTGCAATGAAATTAGTCGTTTTTTTAATAAAGTTTTTTTATTTAGACAATAGGCTGACTTGGAGCGCATTTGCGCGCTGCAGTGTGTTAGATGTGTCAAGAGGAGATTGCGTTCATGCTTGTCTTGTTTGACCCATTTTTAAAGTCACTTTGGTTTGGTTTGTTTTTCGGTGAGTCCGATATGAGTCAGATGTCCATTTTGTAAACCATAGCCAGGCCAAATTTACCCAACTTCCAGCAAGAGAGTCTTGAGTGAGACACTGAGAGGGAATTGATATGTTAGGAAAGTCGTATACCCATTTATCTTTATGATGCCCTATGTCAGCTGTTCCGTTAATCTTAGACCAAAACATTTGTTTAAAAGTATATTATAGTAAGAATTTTAAGTAACGATACTAAAATGTACAAGAAGAAAAGGGTAATTCTGGTCAGAACAATATGTCTAATAAAGGCAAATAAAATCTGTTCTTGTTTTTAAGTAACACCATAATGAAGAAAAAACTAAAAAATTTGGCAGATTAGTCCAAAACTGAAATTTTCTGTCATCATCTTTTATATTTTCTAAATGAAGAAATTTTCCTTTTAAATCAGATATCTGCTCTTTCAATTCAGTTACCTCTTTTTCCAATTGTTGAATTTTTGTTCAATTTTGTTGCTTATTTGTTGTATAATAATCATGATCTCCTGCTTCATTCAGACAGTCAACTAAAAGTCTTGCAACTTTTGGCCTGCCAGCAGCTTGCCTGCCAGTAGATGATCTTTTTCTGAAAATTTGTTTTGGCTTTTGGTTGTAGCTCCCATTAGCAGATAAAGAGTTATTTGTTGTGCGGGGTTTGGAGGAACTATTGGGGAAAATAGTTGGTGAGTAGCTTGGATGAGCTGGGTCATCATTCTTTCTACCTGTAAATGAGTAAATATAATTATAAAAAAGAATGTCATATAATTAAGGAACCATTCCCACAGATATTTGGATTGATCATCTTCCCTATCTCATGCCTAGAATGATCCATCTGGATCAGTGTAACTCCCTGGGGAATCTCACTAAATTGCTATCAAATAAATTGCTTTAATGTCTGTCACACCTAGTATAGCTGATAGAGGGTAATTTTCTTTACCCCCTAGTTGATTTGGTATGCGTGGCAGTCATTTAAGCTGGTTAGTTGATAGCAATTTATTGAGACGCCCCAGGGAGTTACACTGATCCAGATGTATCAGTCTAGGCATGGGAACCCATGCAGTCTCACACACACACACACACACATATATTTCTCAATTCTACTTTTATATGCATTTTATAATAACATTTATTGTTGCATTTTGCAAGTAATTAATGGAGGACTATAAGTCTTGCCATAAAAGACGGGTTCATTTATCTGTGATAAAGTTAACATGTGCATATATATATATTTATATACTTCAAAATGCACAGAACATATCCTTGTGGATGTTGTAGGCATAAAATCCTTATCTACAGGTATGTGGCACAGCCAGTTGTGTTTACGTCCGACATCTTTGGGGAATTGGTAAAAGCTTATTGCTTGCCCCTCCCGATTACATTTCCCACGGGAGTTTGTGCATCCAGGCACGCAGCAGTAGTCGCCCACATATGCCTTCTTCATCTACCTGAATCACTTTATTCCCTGTAGAAAATTATGGAAAAAAATGATGGTACAACACACTATGTTTATAGAAAAAAAAAAACAACTTGATAATAGTTATGAGTTTCACTAAAGTAGACTTCAGGGCAAGATGAGCTCATTTAGTATTAAATATATTTAACCAAGATATGCTAATATATATATAGCCTGGCTATGGTTTACAAAATGGACATCCGACTCATATCGGACTCACTGAAAAACAAACCAAACCAACCAAAAATGGGTCAAACAAGACAAGCACGAACGCAATCTCCTCTCAACACATCTAACACAATGCAGTGCGCAAATGCGCTCCAAGTCAGCCTATTGTCTAAATAAAAAAACTTTATTAAAAAACGACTAATTTCATTGCAAAAGGTAATAATTATGAGGAGAAATATTAGATTTACGCATATCTATTTTATTTGAAATTTAATAATCATTTTTCACTTACCTGTACGGCATTTTATTCGCGCGTCTGTAGATTTGATATGGGAAAAAATACCGGAACTCCTGTTGCGTGCAAAGGATTATGGTCTATATGAATAAGGCGAATCCTCATAGTAGTCAGTAAAGGAAAAAGTTCAATGGCTTCTCATGCTGTAACACCCTATCCTGCTCATTTTTTATAAAGTTTTTTATAAAGTCTCTACATGCTTGAACAATAAGATGAGCACAACATTCACCAAATCTTTAGCCAGTGATATCTGCTCCTCTGTTCTGATACCTCTCACCAGACTCTCCACCAGGTGTCTCTGGTTAAGCTCCTCTTGGAAATCCACACTGCCATACTGGCCCTGAAATTTACAGACTGTAATGTTCTAGGTAGTTTCAAAATGAGCTGCTTCCTGTATGCAACATAAAAAAAAGTATAATTATCAAGGCATGAACTTCTGTGTAATCCTAATACTAAGATGCTATTAACCTTTTGTTTGAAATACTTCCTGTCAAATAAGCAAAGATACCTAATTATGAAAATGTTCTAAATTAAAGAATCACCACCTTGTATAAATGTAGTCACAATGGACAGAGACCTATGGAATTCTTTTTACTCTAATATCCTGTTATCAAAACACTTTTGTGAGCACAGCCTCAACAGCAAAAATAATTAAATAAATTAATTAATAAATAAATTTAAATAATTAAATATTTATATAAAACCAATCTCTCAAGCTATACAAGGTATCTGACAACAACCTGCTTTCCAAATGAAGTGCATAATAATAACATAACCAACCCAGGTTTACCATTTACTGGATATGTATCTAATTTGTACAACTCTTTGAATAAAATGAACCCAAGACAACTCACCATGATAATCTTAGAGTCTGCAATGGTCATGATCCAGCAGAGGGCATCCAAGACCTCAATACGAGCCACTGACCACACTCCAGGCCACTGGTCAGTGATGATGACAACAATGTCCAGACAGCTGTTAAACAGTGCAGTGGACATGGCTTTGTCTTCTGGTTGGGTCTTCACAGTGTGGTCAGTCTGTGTGGTCAGTATGAGGGCCAGCAGACTGGTCAGACAGGATATCTTTAAACTGGACTCCAAATGCTCTATAGGCATCATCTTTAAAACCTATAAAATGAGATTTTTTATTGTATAAAACCATGGCACTGAACTCATGTTTCCTTTTCAGATTAACCTAAATCCTAGAAGCTGAAAAATTAAAAAAAATATGTCATATCTTTTATATATTTGATTATCTGATTTTTTTATTCAAGTTTACATGTCCCACTGTTAGCTTTAGTTAAAGATTTTTAAAAAGTTTTATTCTAATACATACTACTACATAGTCGTTGATCTTAATCTTTTTAATATAACACAACGGCATTTCAGTAAAAGTTTCTGCTACAAGAGGGCACTCCTACAACTGACCTGTAGACATTCCAGGACAGTCTTGATATCATACTTGAACCAAGGAAGTGTAGATCTTTCTTTCAAAAGTTGGTTCACCTTCTCCACTGCCCGAGTGTTCTCCTTTCCACTGGAAAAACGAAAAAACACTAGCTGAGTTATTAAATCCAGCTCGTAACATTATTTCCAACTGCTGTGAGCAGAATTAAAAATTTAGACTTCCTGGCAGGCAGAAAACCTGTCTTTTTCACTTTCATCTTATTAATTTTACTTTGTTTTCTAAATATTTTTCATTCTTTTTCATGCTTGAAACACCAAAAAATGCTGTAATTTGTGTCACTTTATTTTCAATCAACACTTCAAACATCAATATAGTAGGTTGCATGGTTGACAAATGATTGTCTTGAATACATTATCAAGATATCTTTACCAGATTTTGCAGGTAATTTAATGGTCATCAACAGATTACCTGTCCTTAGCCTCAGTGACTGCTGCTGTATCCAGTACATCTGCACACTCGTCCCAAAACAATTTTCTCTTCTTCACACTATAACAGTCATTTACATGTAAAGTCACTAGCTTTCATCATAAAAACAAATATATATATATATATATATATATATATATATATATATATATATATATATATATATATATATATAAATAAATAATAATGCTTATTATTTCACATTTGAACTTATTTTTACAGGGAATCTTCAAAAAATGTTCAAAATATATTGTTACACATGTACAATGGCATGAATATCAACTTACATTTTTCCCCCTGGCACTCGTGCTGAGCGCAGGCACTGGGCTATCTTGGCAAACACTTCAGACACAAAGTACCCATGCAGTGGTGCCATCTCATGGCAAACAGAACCTGTCATGAACGGTACACTGATAGCTTTAACTGGTGACCTAAAAATGGACATAGAAAATTTCAAATAATTCTGTCAAATTTGAACACAATATTGAATGTCCCTTTACCTTAACAGTTTAGTTTGCAGTTGTCTGATTACTATACAGAATCAACATTATCCTATGCCTAATAAGTGCAAAGACTTGACTCAATGCATAATCTGTTGTTCTCTCTCTCTCTCTCTCTCACAGGTATTAACATGCACTCCTGAATGCAGGTTTATCTAAGGTGCCAGCTGTTTGGTCTCTAGCCTGCCTGTGCATTCTCCTTCATACGCACTCACCCCTCACTGTCCTCTTCTTCCCTCAGTGCAGCTCCCACCATCAAGCTGGCAAGTCTGTGTATCGTGGCAGAACTGAGATAAGGAATCAGGAGAGGAAGGTTGGAGACCACCAGCTGCCACTGTGCCACAGGAAGATTGGACTTGGACAGGGAGGGCACCTGAAATATCAAGTTGCTGGAGATTGTGGAAAAGGTCACACCTGAATCAACCTAGGCAGAAGATCAGCTTGTCTTAAGGTCACAAGAATTGCAGCAGCGAAACTGGCTTACACATTTAGACCATAATTTGGTGTTGGTTTGAAACAATAGGAATGAAAATGTGTCTTGTTACCAAAGAGACCAAAATATTGGAGCAGTAATAATTAACTCTAGTTTTTGAGTTGTTGTTTGAAGACACCATGCATTATTGCAACTTTGAATACAAAACATAGCTAAAGAAATTCTTTGCTGAAATTGTGAAGGATGCAACATTAAAGAAAAACACTGTGATCACAATTAAAATCATAAACATACCCTTCCATCCCACACTGCTACTTCCAGCTCCTCCCAGCTAGTGACAGCCAATGATACGCTTTCTTCTGCCAGGTTGCTAAGCAACTCTGTGCTACTTCCTGTCATGGAGGATCCATACAGAAGATGATACCTTAGGGACTGGAGAGACAACATTTGCTGTAAAGAGATCAATGATAAAATTATTTGATTTAAATCTTTAACACTGTCTTAATTTCCCCTGAATGACTAAATACTTGGAGACTTAAAAAATAAAATCTTCTAAGAGAGCATATAGAGCTTACTGATACACCTTCTCTTGGGATTCTCAGCTGTGATAATAATTAGAGTTACATATGTCTTTTGAAAACCGTTTTACAATTACACAAAAAGTGCTTTAGAATTTATTTTAATATGCTTTATCTACTGTATGACTACAAATATATCACATTTTTATTCATAAAAAAAAAAAAAAAAAAAAAAAAAAAAACTGATCTAAACCAAGTCTTTTTTACAAGCTCTAAAATTATATATTCAATATTTTTTCTTTAATCTTTCTTACCATGAGTAACTGAGAACAAGGCCATTTTTTCTTCATGATTTTCTGTGCTATATCACTCCACTGTTGCTGGGTGAGGTAACCATGGAGACTGGTTTCCATGGTGATGGACTGTTGTTTATAAATGCTTGACAACAAGGAAACATCTCCCCAAGCATGACTCAAAAGAAGGACAGATGACCAGACACTGTCCTGCTGAAATAATCAAACACAGGGTGCTTCTCTAATGGTTCTTTATCATACACAAATACTGCTAATAGATAAACAGAGCATTATCAGAAACTGTACTAGAATACATTTCAAAAACTTTTTATTGTTAGATACTAGCTCGGCTTTAAGAATAACACTCACTGACAGAAAGATCTGTAAAAAATTTCAGTAAGAATATTGTTACATGATAAAATTAAAATTTAATGTCTTTAGAAAAAAATAATTTTTACCATTTACACACACACACAAAAAAAAACAATAAAAAAAATTAATCCTAATAAAAGAACTGCTAGATACCTTTTTCCCTTCTATTTTCTCCAACATTGGCAGCAATATTTTGGTTTTCATCTCCTCTGTGAGAATGCTGACTCTCTTGGTGGTCTGACCTGTGACACTGTAGTCAAATAACCTTGCATGGTGGAGACACAGGTGGTACAACTCACACACAGTTGGAAAGGTGGCTGGAATGTTAACGTAAATATACCTTTATTCTTGGTGCCTTTGTTGTGTGTTGTGTGGTTTTGCTAATGTGGCGGGGGGTGGGGGGTGGGGGGGGGGGGGGGCAAGGAGTAATATTTTCTGTATTGCTGCACACTGCAAATGTAAACTAGTTGATAACAGGACAGAGTTGGAGAAACCGCTTGCTTATGTCTTGTATTACTTAGTACAGCATACTGTTCTTGGACAGGAAAAAGGGCAGTAGGGGTTACCACTGAACCTTAGGGGAAGAGGGGGCACCTGACCATCCAAGTTTCCCAACCACCACCATCACCACCTAGACCCTCTGGGTCTGCCACTTTTGCATATTTTTATTAATTTCAAAAACATTGCGATAGAAATCATAAACTACTGTTATTACTCACCTAGATGCAAATTGTTAACCCAAAAGCTGGAAACCTCATCCTGAATACTAGCCCATATGTCGACAGTCTGACCCTGGGGCAACTGTGCCACACACTGAGAAAATCTGAAACAGAAATGTTATAAGTTAATAAAGAAATGGTTCAGTCATATTTTATGTTAACATTTCTATGTATTACCTGACAGTGTAATGTACTATAAAGGCCCTCACAAATGTATTACTTTTCAAAGAAATAAAGTATCCTCTATCTAAAGGCAGCTCTTTACCTGATGTATCATTATTACTAATCACTTAAAACAAGTAAAAACACCAGCAGTTACAGTGATTCAAAAGTGTTGGGATATTTTGACAGGTATGGTACTTCATGGGTCATTTCAAGCTCTATAACATCAAAAAGGAGTTTTTTTATTCGAAATGACAAAATAAGTTACTGTATTCCTTTTTTTTTCAAAGTACGGTTTAAAGGGATAAGGGTTTTCCATCATTCTGTTCCTGATGTCACCTTTTTGGAATGAAAAATTAAAAGTAATCTCACTTCTCAACAAATCCTCCTGGAAGTTGTGCATGCCTATCATGTGCTCGTAACACCTGCAGCAATGTTCCAATCAACTTGTGCACACGTCGTAACTTCTCATGCAGTGTGATGATGTCACAGAACAACAAATCTTGGGCTGCTGTTGTTGGTGGGTCAAGCTGAAGAAGTGAAAGCATTATAGTCTTGTGAAATTCAATATACCCAGATAATCACACACACACACACACACAGAATTTCATCAGTGGTGTTATGTAATAAGAATAAGGCATCAATTTTTCTTCAATCCACATCTGGTATTGAAATTATTCAGGGGGAAGTATCTCTCCTGAATAGAAGCTTTTCACAGGATAGCCTCAATCCCTGACAGGATTGAGATGCTCTGGGCAGGCATCAAAATATTAGAAATAAACGTATAATTCTAATACAACAATACCAGTTGTTGACAGAAGAAAAATCACTGCTTTATTCTTACTGAAGAAATCTACATATCTTACCATGTCTCCTGTGTTCAGCCATCCCACCTCAAACACCTGCTGTAACTTGGTCTGTATGGTGGCTGTGCTGATCTGCAGTAAACTGCTCACACTCTTATACCAAGATGGAACAGACCTGGAACATGGTTGCCAGTATATTAATAAATAATGTTTTATTTATTGTGAAGATATAACTATCTAGTTAATTTAATATCTTTTCACAAACAGCATAAAATGTGTATCTGCAGTAATTTGGAAGCAATAGCACACCTTACATTCAGCTTCACTATTGATAGTAATTTTTGATAAGTGCCTGCATAAGTGGGTAAAATGGTGGGGGTGGGGTGTGGGGGGTTAGGGAAGATAGCCATCACCTTGTCATTTTATTTGTCCAACAGCCCTTGTTTCATAAAACTCTATAGTTATAAAGGCAAAATTTATGGCCCCAGCAACTTACTGAAAATTGCTGAGCAAAAAGTCCACCAGTCCCTGCAGCCATTTTATCTGATGTCCACCACTGCTGTTGTCTGTCACAGCATTATAAACATCTTTCCTGTGTATCACCTCCAGTAATGAAGCCAGGGTGGAAATCCTCATCTGGGCTGGGATTGGACTGTCTTGGCTTATTATTCCAAAATGGTCGCACAGGTGCTTCAACATGGCAAACCCTTGTGTTGCTGTACTTGATGTTCTGGTGGAGACATGTTATAGATAACACTTAGTTTGATAAACAGAAACAACTGCATTTTAAAAAAGATTGAAATAATAAAAATATATTTAAGTGGAAAAAAAAACATTCTGGAATTTTTCTATAATTGTTTTTATTCAAAATATGAAGTTAAAGCTTTAAACAATTGTCCTTCCAAACAATTTATATAGAACTAGTGCTTGAACTTTAATTTCTGAACAGTTACAAAACACATTACATTAAACTACTGAAAAAAATGCCAGAGTTAAGGCATTACAACTAGTTGAATGGAAGTATATCCCTTACCCTATACTAGCCAAGAACCCCTCGTACAACATGGAGATAAAGTTAAGAACTGCTTCCTGTTGATGTTGAATTTCAAGGCAGCTCATCTGAAATAGAAAACAGGGTAGAGGTCTATATGCAGCGGGATTTGGGAGTTTTGAAAAACTACCCTTTTCACTGAATAAATGACCATCCTGAATCAAAATTCTATCTATATTCTCTGGCATTTCAGAAGTTAGGTCAAGTTAGAGGGAAAATGTCCCCCGTTTTATCATAAATTTTACATGAAATTTGTGGACACAGGCTAAGTGTTTATAAGTACATAATGAGAGCAAGAAATATACCTAATTTATATATAAAAAAGATTCAATAGTAGATCGATATCTGACTAAAAAAAAAACTCAAATAAATATCCTGTATATATAAATACCAATTTTTCTGTGGCAGTCTTCAGTTTCATGAACATATCCTCCTGTAGTTTAGGTAGTTGAGTTTTTGTATCAGCTTCTCCTTGTAAGATGGACATGTAGAGTGAGAACTGGCTCTGGTGATCCCTGGAATGCATTATATATTTATAAATAATACCAAGTGAACACATACATAACTCATCACAAAATATGATAAAAAGCAACTTCCTTTTCCTTCTTTCATTAGTTGTGGTACCATTTATTTACAGATTCTGTGATAAACATTAAAAGACCATCTAATATTCAGAATGGGTTGAGATCTGTAAACTCTTCAAATATAAAAACATTTATCATATAAGATCTAATATCTACAAATCACTGATCTACTTAATGTTTGGCATCATTCACCAGAATTATTCAATATGTGTTAAACTTGCATTCCTGGCTGAAACTGCAGGTGCAAATTGGTAACCATTAATTTCTTTTGATGAAGTGACTCACTTGTGGTAGATAGCAGCCATAATAATGTCCTGTAATTTCTGTGCTATGCTCATCTTAGAGGACAACCTGAGACTCTGTAACAGTAGCACAAAGTTCACCAAAGCCCCATCTACAACAGCATGAAAAACCTGGAACAAAAATTATAGATATTGATCCAGAAATTGTAATGTGCATAAGCTCAACATCTTAATTACATTGCCTCCATTATAATAGCGGTTACACATGAAGAATATCTTTTCTGAATTTTTATGCAATGAAATTACTTCATTTATTGATAGTCAACTGCCAAATATTTTTTAAAAAATCAAATCGCCGGGAAAATACCTTATACTTTTTTAACACAATTACATCCTCACAGCATTTTATATTGTTAAGCCATCACACGGGCCAAAGAAAAGGCAAATTTTTTGAGAGAGAGAGAGAGAGAGTGTGAGTGTGAGTGTCAACCCTTTAGTCAAAAACACACACTCGCTCTATAAAAGTTACCTGTTTTTGATTGGCATGTTGTCTCTGTAGAATACTGTATCGTGTCAGCAGCAAATCCAGCACATGCAGAAACAAATGTTGATCCTCACCATGACTGTCATTCACTTTAGAAAACCTTTGCAACAGCATTAACACATAGCTGTTTAATAGCTGAAGCTGAAGCAAACGAGTGAACGGTCACAATGCTTTTATAATTGAGAGAATCATTTTTAAGTCATAAATCTTATCTATAATAAATGGAGATGGTGGAGTTGATATTGACAAGAATGTATTACCACTTCTTGATAATATATATAAAAGAAAAATTCTAATAAGTCTGATTAAAAAATATCTTCACCAAAGTCCTGAAACAAGAATTTTCACATTTTTCACTAAAGTGAATCCAGACTTACCACAGTTTCAAACCTGGATGCCACTACATGGCAGTAAGATGATGTCTCAAGAACAATCCTACTGCAACAGGTCACATGACGAAGACATGATTTGTAAGCAGCATTCTTATTGGTTGTGGTGAACATGTCAGTCAGTGTCTTGTTAAAAGATGGAATGGTAGGATAAAATGGTAAATGAAATATGCAGACAGAACTTTCATTTACAGCATCACCGAAAATTTTATTTAACATTACTGCCAATAAATATAACCTTTCGTAAGACAGAGATAAATAAAGAAGTCCAGAAATGTTCATTTTTTACTCAAAGGAGCTGAAATATAGGTTTATGTACAAAAAGAATTGAAAATGGAAATAATAGGTCAGAAACCCAAAGATAAATAAAATATCAAAGATAACAAAAAGCTGTTGAAACCAAACAATAACTTGTAACAGTTACTCTGTCCTTGAATTCTAGTGTAATTTAATTATGTCTGAGGATACACAATTCACTTAATAACAACTGACAATCTTTTAACTCACTAAATTAGACACATGTGGCAAACAAAGAAACAAACAAATTACCTGTACAAATGATGGTTTGAGCAGAACACCATGGGTTTGTCCTCTCTCAAGGATCTGAAGTAATTCAGCCAGTAAAGCCCACATAGGGAGAAGATTTTCATCCACTACATGCCATCTGAAATGATCATCAACATTAGCATACAGAAAAAATATATATGTTAAGAACACCGACCATCAACATAATAACATATACTACTACTATACTATAAAATACACATTTTTTTCTCTGACAGATATACTTAAAGTCTACAACCCCCCCCCCCCAAAAAAAAAAAAAAAAAAAAAAAAAACGAAAGAAAACGAGAGAAAAGAAAGAAAAATATTAATAAATAAATTCCAGCTATATATAATAAGTGGAGTTATTACAAATATCCACAAATAAAAACATTACTCACTTCTTTTTATTCAGCAGAGCACCAGTCAACCAGTCGATGACATACTGTTCTTTGTTAGGTATGACAACTCCCTTGGATGCCCACACAAACCTGGCTAACTTCAGCTTGGATTCCCAGGGTAAGAATCTGTCCTTCAGCTTCAAGTGCAGACCTGGGGAGAAAAAGTTCATCATCAGAAATTTCGTAAATCTGATCCACTGATCAGAGGTGGATGAATCAAATTCTTTAAATCAAGAGAGATAACTAACTGTTAAAATATATCAAATTTATAGGTATTTCAGTTCCATTTAAAAGAGCACTGTCCACCATGTGCTCGATATTCGACAGTCAAAAAGAGTTACGTTGAAGTACATGCTGATACTCGAGGCTTAATATATAAGCTACAGACGAAGCACTGATTCACCTTAGGGTAATAACTCTGCTAAATAACTTAACCTGCGACCAGAGACAGTTAGACCTCCATATATATGAGAGACGAAACGGCTGAGTCAGCCTGAGTGGAAGTCAAACACCACACATACTCTACATCTTACAGTATCTCTTTGATTTTAGTTTTCTGATAGTTACAAATAAAAATCTCAAATCTATGTCATACACTAGAACATTTAATCCTACATTTTCCTAAATAGCTTACCACTGCATGGCTTATTAAAGAGATTGGACTGCAACATCACGGGAAATCAACAACAAGGCATGCTTTGCTAGTACCCACATTTGATTGTCGTAATACGACTTCCTGTTGAAATGTTCTTTCCTACTTTGTTTTTCAGGGCCGTAGCCTCCGGGGGGGGCAGGGGGGGCAGCTGCCCCCCCTGGGATTTGAAGTGCAAAAAAAATAATCGCAATTTCTGACTTCTGATTGAGCAATAAATAACAGTTAAAATGCACCAGAATGCAGTATTATACATACACTTTTTAAAATTTTTCCACACCGTGGGACACCCCCTCCCACAACCTCCCCACTCAGGGGGCTTTGCCCCCTCGTGTCCGCTTACTGCCCCCCCTGGCATTTTGCTCAGGCTACGGCCCTGTTTTTTTATTGCTTTAAATAAAATATTGCAAGCACATTAAAAAATAAATGCTAAAAATTGGTTGGCATTTAACATTTTACTGAATATATGTCTTCTGTAAGCCCTTTCACTATATAGTGTTNTGTTTTTCAGGGCCGTAGCCTCCGGGGGGGGGAGGGGGGGCAGCTGCCCCCCCTGGGATTTGAAGTGCAAAAAAAATAATCGCAATTTCTGACTTCTGATTGAGCAATAAATAACAGTTAAAATGCACCAGAATGCAGTATTATACATACACTTTTTAAAATTTTTCCACACCGTGGGACACCCCCTCCCACAACCTCCCCACTCAGGGGGCTTTGCCCCCTCGTGTCCGCTTACTGCCCCCCCTGGCATTTTGCTCAGGCTACGGCCCTGTTTTTTTATTGCTTTAAATAAAATATTGCAAGCACATTAAAAAATAAATGCTAAAAATTGGTTGGCATTTAACATTTTACTGAATATATGTCTTCTGTAAGCCCTTTCACTATATAGTGTTAATAACGGGGGGCGGGGGGGGAGGGGGGGAGGGGAGGGTGCTATTAGAGTATGCCTACAATCTGGTAGGCCTAGGTCTTGTCTATATTTACAGTTTGTAATAAAGCCATAGTAAAGGTGCTATCGATTTGTCATTTAAAGTTTCATTTATGTATTTTTTTAAATCGCATGATTTGTTTATCGATTGATCTATTTTGGGGCCTATTTTCAAATAATATAGACTACCCGGTAGGCTATTATTAGAGCTAAAGTTTTTACATTTGACAATTTTTGGATAAAGATGAATATGTCCCCAAATTTAGTTTAACATGATTTATTTATACAAAATATTTATACAAAATTTATAAAAAAAAAAATTGTGGCTTGGGCTATATACTAGTAGGACTTGGACTGCTGCAAAATTTTTAAATATTGACCAACTTAGGCCTACACGAGGAAGCTACAGTAGGCCTATACGCTAGGAGTTCTGTAAAAAATAAAATAAATGGATATTAATACTAGTTATTCGCCTAATAGCCAAAATAAAACAAATTTAATGTTATCATAAATTTAAATTGCAGGCGACATTAAACGAGGCATTTTTTAAGAAATAGGAATTCAAAATTATAGGCCTATAGGCCCCCTATGCTTTTAACGTACATTTGTAGGCCTACACATACACAAATGGGGGCCGTAGCGATAGTCCGAAGGTTCAATAGTCCGAAGGTTCATTGGTCCGAAGGTTCACTATAGAACCTTCGGACCAATGAACCCTTGATTAAAAAATCGATGAAAATGTTACCACTTTTCGGACCAATGAACCTTCGGACCAATGAACCTTCGGACTATCGAGACGCCCCCCACAAATGTTACATGCGAATTTTGTAAAAGCCAGTAAAATGTTGAATATGGTCGTGTGCCTTTCGACCCATATATCAAGTATAGGCCTATATAAGTCCCTACATGTATACAAAGCAAGGCGTTCAGCCTGGCTGCCTGACATCACTTAACTGCAAACTGGGTCAGGGTATTGTGTGAAATATGTGGCGTTGGATAGAATCGATATTTGCCACCATTGTGACGCGTGCGACAATAGCTGAAGTCTTAAAGAGAAACCAAACATCCTGGCGGTGGGTGTGGGGTAGGCTACATCTAGCTTCTTTTTGTCATTTTTTTTAGCTGATACTAGTAACTTATAGACAGGCGATATTGCAGGCCTCTTATATCAACTTGCAGAAACGAGGAAATCTTGGGGGTTTGTCCTCAACATCACAGCGTTTGTTATGTGCGTGCATTAAGTGGACGAGGCACAGGTAAGCAAAGGTGGCGGGTACCGCTAGCCGGAGGTCACACGAGGTGAATTTGTAAGATATGGCGTTTTCAACGACATCCATTCATTCACTGTGAAATCGCTGCCATATTGATCAGCATGCATCTTTAAAAGTCGTTATAGAATATTGTTTTGCTAACATAACGAGGTGTCATTTGATATGAAACTGGTGCATAAATACCCGGTAATTCACCTTACTATAGCCTATATACACACACTGGACAATAGAAGTGTCACCCCCTGAATCACAGTAATCAAAGTCATAATGCCTGGTCTACTTATAAACTGACTGAGTAGGCCTATAAAGCCGCTGTACCATGGGATTGTATAATTGGTCTTTTTGTGAAATTTGATGTTAATGAAATGATACCAGGAACGTATCATTCCACAATCATGTATCTCCCCCAAAGTATTGGTTCAGCGGTGTGACTGAAATGCGCAATACACCGCAATACAGCGCAACACAGTGCAATACACTTCAAAAATCAAATCCAGTTGCAATTACACTAAAGAAATGACCATTCCCAGCAAAGTAGGGTGATATAAAAACAACCTATATTACTAGGTAAGTAATATCGTTGATATAAATTAACAAATCAGCAAGACTTTTATGTTGTCCGGTTGGCAGCCATGTTGGCGAGTGGCTCTTCTTGGATATATTACTGGCCAAGAAGAGCTACTTGCCAACATGGCGGCTGACCAAAAAATGAAAAAATTGTCAAGTTGTATCAGCAATATTAATTACTATGTACTATATTTTGCTTTTATATCACCCTATTTTATTTGAGATTACTCTTTCCTGTGTTTACTTGCAACTGGACTTGTGTTATCAAGTGTATTGCGCTGTGTTCCGCTGTATTGCAGTGTATTGCTCATTTCAGTCACACCCTTGGTTCAGTAGGGGTGACACTTCTATTGTCCAGTGTGTGTATTTATCTAAAAGTGTAGTAGTTCAAGTGTGTTGTTAAAAACAGGATAATCGTATAGGCTCATGCGTGTGATTTCAAAAGAATAGTCCAAGAGGTATTTTCAGACACTGGGGAATAATTTGAAGTCCACAGATTCAATTTAAAATGTCCTTTAATATAGCTTTTGACAACACATCTGTCTTCTCGTACAGTTAATCCCTCACTCACGGGCATTACTTGCCTCCCTAAATAGGGAGTCACGTATTTAAAACTGCATAATGCAATCACGGCAAGTTCAGAGTTATAATGTTATTTGCAAGTAAAATAGTCGGATTGTACAAAAATATAAATTCTTAAATTCACTAAATGATAATAAAAAACTGTTAAGACTGTTAAATTAAAAGTGCACTGCGGTTGAAATGAAACATTTGGTTCTTTCAGGATATTTAAAAATACATTAAGTTTAATATCAATTTGAAAACATACTTAAAGTGAGTTCAGAATTCAGTGTGCATGGGATGGATGATTTTGAAGGTCTGATATTTCTCAGTTTTGGTACAGTATATTTTTGAGTTCGAAGCACAATACATGGCTAACGTATTTGTCTCAGTGTAGATGGTGTAATTTATGGTCTTTAATTTGGTCATATTGAGGTGAAATGGTTTGATAGGTCAAACATTCAGCCAGCAAGTGAATTACACTTTTAGAAAATGTTAGTGCCTCATCATATTGCCTGAGTTTATCATTTTTATGCACTTTTCTGGTCATTTCAATCTTGTCAATTTGTTGTCTCGTAAGACCCGGGTATCAAACTTGGCAGGTGTGTAGAGCCGCATTTTGCAACCGACCGCATTTTGCAACCGGTTGCAAAATGCGTTCAGTTGCAAAATGCGGTCCTACTAAGCACGGGCACTTCGGAAATTTATTGTGACATGGATGTGGTTGTCCCTGGGGGTGGTTGATTCTAATTTTACAACGTATTATCTGCTATCTGTCCATGTATCGGCCATTTGAGTTAAAGCATGAAACGTAGCTACAGTATAATTTGGGATGTTGAATGGCATTTAATTTTTTTGACTTAGGGTGTGGTCCTGGGGGTGGTTGAAAATAATTAGACGTTGTAATTTCTGCTATCTACCTTTAGACCATATAAGTTAGGAACGGAAGGCTATGGGAATTGAAAACATGTCTTTAGGGATATGGATTATTCTGGGGTATTGATGGGTGTGGCCGTCCCTGGGGGTGGTTGATTCTATTTTTTTGCACCGTTACTTCTACTATCTAACCTTAGAGTTAGGAACATGAAATGTTGGGGATTGATAATGAATGTACATGGGTCTTTGAGGAATTTAGAGAACAGCAGCGGCGCACATAGCACTAAACGGACTTACAGTCGTAGGCATGAATATAGGTCAAGGAATCCAGTTAAAGCTGTCCTTTTGACCCATGCCAACCATAAGGCCCTACACACTCAGGAATCCTGGCGTTCAACTAGCCGTTGTGTCTTAATACAAAACAAATATGTTAATTAATCATAAATTGTAATTAGCATGTGTGTTGCTCTACAGAGGCTATGCCTGAAAGTATGGGGTCTTGCATGGGTTTTTAATTAACTTGACCTATATTCAAGCATACCGCTGAAGGTCTGTTATTAAGTGCCGTCTGCTGCGTTCTTTGCATTCCCCTTCCAGCTTTCAGATTCACACATCCTACTAGCTGGGTCGGTCCAACTCTGCAGGGGATCTCACTTAAGTGCAATCAGTGGAATCAGCTTAATTGTCTGACATACCACCAATCACCCCATCCCCTGAGGGACAGTCACACCCAAAGTCACACTAAAATTCCCCTGTACCCATGCACCAAAGACTCGTGCTCCTAACTCGAACGGACGAGAAGGAGATGAAAGAAATTACGGTGAAAATATTACAGTCAAGTAACTATCCCCAGGGAC